AAGAAGCCAGTATTACATTTATTTTCTGCCATTGTTCTCTTTATTCAAAGTAAAATATACAAATTTAAAGATATTGTTTATACAAAAATACTGGAAATAATGTATAAAGCATTGAATAAAAGTCTTCCTTCTGGTATTCAGAAATTATTTAAGTTAAGAGAAAATAAATATAATTTGCGAGGTTTGTTTATATTTGAATGTGCAAAAGAAAAAAGTCAGATAAAGTCTAGATGCGTTTCAGTTATTGGTGTGAAACTGTGGAATGAATTGAATGATGAATTAAAGTTATGTCCTTTCTTGGTGAACTTTAAAAGAGCTTTAAAAATTAAAATGATAAAATCTTACGTTCTTATGTAGATCTATATATGTACTATGTACTTGAATCTGAATTTGAAGAAATCCTGGTAGGTTGTAAGGTAAAAAAAATAGGGTAGGCAAGAATAAGCTTTGCTTCGGCCTATTCCTTTTTTGGTAAACTGTGGGTTTGTCTATTGTTTTTTTTTCTTTTTTTCCTTTTGTTGTTTCTTGTGTTAAACGTGGACAATTTACCAAAATAAAGTGATTGATTGATTGATTGTCTTCAGCAGAAGCTCCTACAAAGTCCTTGTGATGAGAAGAAATGATAATTTAGAATGTCTGTTTTGCTTGAAAATGTTAAATATTTCAACCGAACGTTATAAAGACCTGCTTTTCTTCAGGATCTCTGCCAGAAGCTTCATGAGCAGATCGGGATCTGTGAGGAGGAGCGATACTGCACAGAGTTTAAACTGGACATGGTCCTGAACGAGGTGAGGCACTGAACCCAACAGATCTCCATCTCAGCTCACTTTAAATGTCTGGAACCGGCTGTTCTTTCATCTCCAGCTGTGGCTTCCACAAACAAAAGGCTCAGAACATTGCAATTCTCAAATATTAACATTATGTTTTACATCTAATGTGATATGTATTTCAGACATGTGCTGTTTTCAGGCAAATTACATAATCTTATTAACCTGGTCGGTTAATAAGGCAGGCTCCATCTAGGCAGGCTCCATCCATCCATCCATCCATCCATCCATCCATCCATCCATCCATCCATCCATCCATTAATTCATCCATCCATCCATCCATCCATCCATCCATCCATCCATCCATCCATCCATCCATCTACTCATCCATCCATCCATCCATCCATCCATCTACTCATCTATCCATCCATCCATCCATCATCCATCATCCATCATCTATCTACTCATCCATCAATCCATCTACTCATCCATCCATCCATCCATCATCTACTCATCCATCCATCATCTAGTCATCCATCCATCCATCCATCATTCATCTACTCATCCATCAATCCATCTACTCATCCATCCATCCATCATCTAGTCATTCATCCATCCATCCATCCATCCAGCCATTCATCAGTAATTGACATAATTTCAATTATAACTGGATCAAAAACAATCCTGTATCATAACTGATAATTCAATTAGATTAAATTCAGTAGTACGTTATTTTACCTGGAAGGAAAATAAAATTGCTGTTGTATTAATCACTTTTCCATAAACAGTATGTGAACAAATATATATATATATATAAATGGCATGACTGTGTAAACAGTCCACAGATGGTAGAGATAACCCTTTAAAGCCCAATCCAAGAAAAAATAGAGAGAATTTTTGTTATTGTTTGAAGTCTTTATTTGACCCTTCACAAAATATGTGAGAAAAAACAGACATTATTTTTTAATATTCGTCGTTTATTACCTTCTGCTAAGTCAAAATAGTCTTCTGCCCGCTGTTATCAGGTATAACTGATTTTGTACAACAAGGTTTTGAACAAAGTTTTTACCATGAAATGATGCAAAAGGTCTCAGATGCTAAATTTTTCATAAATCGTATGTATCAAATATGATACATGTGGCATTATAGGGTTGTATAAGGGTTGTAGCGGATATCTTGGGTGATCTTTAGTAGCTCCATTAACTTTATTTCCATAGGTAAGGGATCTAAACATCAAGATTGTTGATCTGAGAGGGAAATTCAAGAGACCCCGCCTGAAGAAGGTGCGCATGTCCGCGGACGCCATGCTGAAAGCTCTGCTGGGCTCCAAACACACCGTCAACATGGACCTGAGGGCCAACCTGAAGCAGGTCAAGAAGGAGGTCAAAGAAGAGGTGAGTGGCTTCTCTACTAGTCTGAAATTCACCAGGAACCATAAATATTAGAAGGACCTCTAAAGCTGGATGTGATATATTCGTGCTGTCCTTTTTAGTATGGCAGCATTTATCCCTTTGGAGATAAAATATTGAATCGGATTCAGTTTTAACCACGTCACGTGAGGTTTTTAACTCATTGGCTGCCAAAGACGTCTATAGACGTCAATTCAAATACAACCGTTCGCTGCCAAAGACGTCTATAGACGTCTTTTATGTTTTTCAAAGCGAGTGGCTGGGGGACGATCTGCTAAAGCTTGTCCGTAAATATCAGGCTTCTAGACAGAGTATGTAGTAACAAATTGACCCTCTAGGTGGCAGTGCCACTTTTGATGGGAGATGAGCATAGACTGTAGGCAAATAAGAAAAAGCTAACGGTTCGCTATGAGAGAAATGGCGCCGGTGAGACGCAAGTCGAGGAAGAACGGAATAAGGTGGAAACTACATTTTTTTCCTGATGAAAGAAGAGAGTCTACTCTTTCTTTTGGGGTATTTGGTGTCTACATAGTCATAGCACAAACTATTCTGTGGCTCTTGAAAAATCAGTCAAAATGCTCAAAAAACTCTGGCAGTATGGGACTCTGTTCTGAAAATGGCTGGCAGTCAATGAGTTAATGAGAGCAGAAGAACTATGACACGTTGTGTTTGTGTCTGCAGGACAAGCAGCTGCGTGACGTGGGCGACTGGCGTAAGAACATCGAAGACAAGTCTGATAGAAAGAAGATGTTTGACAGTTAAACCGGGTCTAACAACATTTGCCTTATGTTGATTTTGAGGGCTGACATTCGGTTAAGTGTATTTGTAACTGAAGAGTTTTACTCCAAAATGGTGAAAATCTCCTTTTTAGTTTTAGTTTACTGAGATGACATGTAAAGGTGTATATCCTAGATAAAACAAAGATGGACTATAGTTAGCTGTGTGGAGAGAGAAGGTTAAGGAAGCTTATTCAGTGGTAGAGTAAGTGATAGATGGCTTTTATCTCCTAAAAAGGATCATAAAAGTCTTGAGTTACTCAAGCATTTAAAATGCAAATTTATAAAAAATAATGTTGTCTACCCATGTAGAAGGCGCTGGAAATTGGCTGTTTTGGTGGAAATTCTTCAGTTAAATCTGAGCAACCCTCTGCTTTGGCCTGTATTGTCATGTATTTGTACTGTATGTGCCGATGTCAGTTAGCATGCAATGCTACATTTCGTCCTTTTGGGTTTAAACATGCCTCCGGATCAAATATGTTGGCGCAATATGTTGATTGACAGTTAAAACTTTGAGCAATCCTCTTTCTTCACTTTAATTTGTCTATATTCTTGACTGGTTCTGAACCTTCCACAAATCCTCCCAATACTGTTAAAATGGCCACTCAAGCATTAGCTAAGAGTTGAGCTAACTCCATTGTAGCTTCTGGTCGCTGCACATGGTTTTTCAATGATTTTCTACTTTGTTGTGGTCTTTGCAAAAAATCTTAACATTTCTAAAAGAAAAGCTTTAAACGGCAAAAGTCTTTTGTGGTGGTTTGGGAGATGTATTTAACTTATCTGTATTTAAAGTAACAACATATCGCAGATTGAATCAGTACCAGTTAAAAATGCCAGGATATGTTAACTCACTCAGATCACAAAAAAAAGAAAAGATTTGTCACTGTAGACAATAACCAACAGGAAACCAGTCTTTTCTTCTCTCAGCCGACTGTCTGTCCCAAAGTTCATCCTGTTCAT